TTTTTTTTTTTTTTTTTTTGGACAACAGTTTGTTGTGGTAGACAGTTTAGGAGACCTTTTCCCCATTTTACAGATGAGAACTCTGTTTCCTTCTTCCTAAGCAAATCCAGAACTAGAACCCAGGTCTTCTGGGAATTTTCTCCTAGTCCACACTGTCTTTGTTGGTCTAAAGAAGTAATTGAGAATAAGTCATGTTAAATTTGTGGCTAAGAAATCCAACTATGATAAGTGAATGTTCTATTCTGAAAGCATATTTATAATGTGCAATAATTGAATGCAGGTGTATCTTATTTTCAGCATTGTGTTTTAATTTGTTATCTTTCTAGCCCATTTTTTAAAGTGATGACAACTAAATACTGGCAAATCTATCTAATAATAGGAAAATTGGAATTAAAATATCTATTTAATGTTAAGAAATTTAACCTAGTCCTCATGTAATACAGCATCTCAATTAGAAAAATAGCTTAAAATTGTATTGCTTTTTAGATGTTTCTTTTAAAGGCTCATCATATCTCTGTATGTATAAAATTAGTTTTATTATTCTAAAGTATTTTAAATGATTCTTAACTTGTAAACACTAAGTCCAGATTTTCCTTTGCCTTTAATATCTTCAGCCAAAGGACAACTTAAATTACTTCTTTTTATATGAATAAATAATTTTAAAATTAATACATTTTTATTTTTAATTTTTAGACATCTGTGGAATTTAAGAACATTATGGAGCTCATCAGAGTATATCACTGAAGAATATGATGGCTGAAAACAATTTAAAAATGCTAAAGATTCAACAATGCGTGGTAACCAACAAACTCCCTAGAAACAGGCCATATATTTGCAATATTTGCTTCAAGCACTTTGAAACACCATCAAAATTAGCTAGGCACTATCTCATTCATACTGGCCAAAAGCCATTTGAATGTGATGTATGTCATAAAACCTTTAGACAACTAGTTCATCTGGAGAGGCATCAGCTAACTCATAATCTGCCTTTTAAATGTAGTATTTGTCAGCGCCACTTTAAAAATCTGAAGACATTTGTGAAGCACCAACAACTTCACAATGAAACCTATCAGAATAATGTTAAACAGGTCAGAAGATTGCTGGAGGCCAAGCAAGAAAAGTCAATGTATGGAGTGTATAATACTTTTACCACACAGGAAAGATGGGCATTACACCCGTGCTCTAAGTCCGATCCCACATATAGCATGAAGAGAAGAAAGAATATTCATGCATGTACGATCTGTGGCAAGATGTTTCCATCACAGTCAAAACTTGATAGGCATGTACTTATTCATACTGGTCAGAGGCCTTTTAAATGTGTCTTGTGTACTAAATCTTTTCGACAGTCAACTCACTTAAAAATCCACCAACTTACACATTCAGAAGAAAGACCTTTTCAATGTTGTTTTTGTCAAAAAGGATTTAAGATTCAAAGCAAACTTCTGAAGCATAAACAAATCCATACTAGGAATAAGGTTTTTCGGGCTCTTTTATTAAAGAAGAGGCGTACAGAATCTCGCCCCCTGCCTAATAAGTTAAATGCAAATCAGGGTGGTTTTGAAAATGGTGAGATTGGTGAATCTGAGGAGAATAATCCACTTGATGTCCACTCAATTTATATTGTCCCTTTTCAGTGTCCAAAGTGTGAAAAGTGTTTTGAATCGGAGCAGATTCTCAATGAACACAAGTGTTTTCCTGCTAGAGGTGGCAAAATTTCAAGCAGGTTCAAAAGAAGCTACAACTATAAAACCATTGTTAAAAAAATCTTGGCCAAGCTTAAACGTGCTAGGAGTAGAAGATTAGATTACTTTCGATCTGAGAAAAAAGTATTTAAAAAGAATTTCTTGAAAAATTGTGATCTTATTTCCGGTGAGCAGAGCTCTGAACAAACCCAGAGAACCTTTGTGGGTTCTCTTGGCAAACATGGAACATGTAAAACAATTGGCAATAGAAAGAAGAAAACATTGGCCTTGCCATTTTCTTGGCAAAAGTTTCAGAGCCAAAATGTGGGAAAAAATTTGAAAGGTATCCTTACGACAGAAAACATATTAAGTATTGATAATTCAGTGAGTAAGAAGGACTTGTCAATCTGTGGTTCATCAGGTGAGGAATTCTTTAATAACTGTGAGGTACTTCAGTGTGGTTTTTCAGTTCCAAGGGAAAACATACGTACTAGACATAAGATATGTCCTTGTGACAAATGTGAGAAGGTATTTCCTTCTATATCCAAACTGAAAAGACACTATTTAATTCATACTGGACAGAGGCCTTTTGGCTGTAATATTTGTGGGAAATCTTTTAGACAGTCAGCTCACTTAAAAAGACATGAACAGACTCATAATGAAAAGAGTCCTTATGCATCTCTTTGCCAGCTAGAATTTGGAAACTTGAACAATCTTTCTAATCATCCAGGTAATGATGTTAACTATAATGCTTCCCAACAATGTCAGGCTCCTGGTGTTCAAAAATACGAGGTCTCAGAGTCAGATCAAATGTCAGGAGTTAAGACAAACTCACAGGATTTTATTCCTGGTAGCACCGGGCAGCCTTGCCTTCCTAATGTACTTTTGGAATCAGAGCAAAGCCATCCTTTTGGCAGTTATTCAGAGAATCAGGAGAAAAATGAAGTCTTCCTGTACCGATGCAGTGTTTGTGCTAAAAGTTTCCGATCTCCATCTAAACTGGAAAGGCACTACCTAATTCATGCAGGGCAAAAACCATTTGAATGCTCAGTTTGTGGCAAAACATTCAGACAGGCTCCTCACTGGAAGAGACATCAACTTACTCACTTTAAAGAACGACCACGAGCTCGGGAGAAAGTGGTTGCCTTAGATTCGGTTATGTAAACTGATGCAACCACTAACAATTGTGGTCTCTGGTAATCTCATTTTTAAAGCCTGTATTTAAAATGCATTTGTATCCAAAGGCCTGCATTAAACTGAATGATTTCACAGGCATTTGCTTGTTCTGCATAGTAAGGAAGTAAAATACATAGAAAATTAATACGATGTTTAGAAACAGCCGAATGAATTTTTAGAGGCAAGAACATGATTTGATGCTATGAAGTAGGCATTTTAATATTGTAAACAAGCTTTGGCTGTATTGAAAAATATAAATCCATGATGCTGTACAAATAATTTAGCCTCATTCATTTTTTAAAGGAATTATTCCTTAAGACATGCCATCTCTTTTTAGATAAACTCAAAAGACTGAGAGGCAAAAATTGCCTTTTAGCTGTAGCACATAGCCCTGCTATATTTCATTTATTTTGCATTTCTTGTGACAGTTTTTGACCACATGGCTCAAATTGCATTGGAAAGTTGGAGGTTTTTTTGTTTTTGTTTTTTCTTTGCAAATTTTAAAAACTACAGAGGCACTAATGTTGAAAATGGATGAGAAAATTATAATATTTTTATTGGTCTTTTCTAAGCTGTTTGTATTTAGGCGTATGTGATAATTTCACCTTTTTCAGGTGATAAGGATTTTTTTTTTTTTTTTTTTTTTGTCTAGTGCCATCTTTCTCAAAATAATTTAAAAGTAGACAAGAGGCTAGGATATATCCATGTACATTTACCATGTTTACTTACCAGGAATATTTTCCAAGTGCCATAGTCTTTTTTTTTTTTTTTCTTCAGAATATGTATGCAGTTTTATCTTTTCAGAGGAATAATTTCAAATCATTTATTTGCTCATCAGTGATAGCAGTAGTCATAGACCTAAGACTCTATTCTAGAATTTTTCATCTCCTTAAGACTTTTACATTTATCTTAGTAAACTTTTCTTTTTATGCCTCTTTAATGGAGTGGTCCTATTATTTAAGCCTGTTCTAAGTTTGATCAAATGGCAATGACTAGGTCTAGTTTTAGTTTTTACTTTTGCAAGAGTCTAATGCTGAAGAATTTTATTTTGATCCTTGTTAAATTTTTAAATAGTAAAGTAGTCATTCCTGTAGAGGAATAAGATGCTTGTAGAGTTGTGGGTATCATTCCAAATAGAACTGTTATGTTTTGGGAAATATTCTAAACTACAAATGACTTATTTCATAATGACAGATTGTCCTTCACATTTGCCTTTGTTTATAAAATCTTCGGGAATGACATTTTCTAGCAATAAAAGGCATTAACCATTATGGTTCTAAGTGAAAAGAGGAACATGTGGGTAGTTATCCTACCACACTTAAAATACAGTGGAAAATCTTCTATTGAGAATGTGGATAAATGAACAATTGTAAGTTTTACATCATAATCTGAGAACTTTCTTTTCGGGGGGTGGGGGGGAGGCGGGAGGGGTAGTAGGTGGGAGTGATCTGCTTGCTTTTGCCAGAGGTGATTTTTAAGTAACTTGGGTTTAATTTACAGAGATAAAACATGACAGTCTGAGTAAAATACCCAGTGATGTAGAATTGTTTCTGTTTGTTACATAGGTAGTACACCTCCAACAAAAGCGGGGGAGAATCACATGCTTTAAAGAATACTCTCTTAGGTTTCCTTGAGATATGTTCCTCCAGTGCAAGCAAGATAATGGTTTACAGAATTTGCTTTACACAAAACTTTTCAAGAACTCATCATCTGTTACACAAAGCAAGGAATAACTGGTTTATATTTTCCAATAATGTTCAAGGTTTTTTCCTTAATATGTCTGAAATTACTGATTTTGGTATTTTTCTAAGCAATTTATGTAATTTTATTTGAAGGAAATGTTTTACATACTCTTTTTCCCAACCTAAAGAGGGAGGGTCCTAACAGTGTTGTGCTTGTATGATTATGAGACTTTATTTGCCTAAGTGATACTACTCTACTTTATTTTTGACCCATGCCTTCTTAAGCTGTTTCATATTGAAAGTTGGAGTATTGTAAAAATTTTGTCAAAGATGTACTGTAGTGCTATTTGAAGTACCTGTAACAAAACACAGTTGGCCCTCCATATCCATGGACTCTGCATCTGTGGATTAAACCAATTGTAGATCAAAAATATTAGGAGAAAAAATATGAAAATAGTACAAATAAAAAATACAGTATAACAGTTATTTAAATAGCATTTACATTGCATTAGGTATTAGTCTAGAGATAAAGTCTAAAGGAGGATGTGCGTTGGTTATATGCAAATATGCCATTTTATGTAAGGGACTTGAGTATACTTTGATTTTTGGCGTATGGGGAGGGGGGGTGTGTTGGGGGGGGTGAGTCCTGGAACCAATGCCCTGTGGATACCAAGGGACAACTATACTTATTTACCTTTATTATCATTGCAAGCTTCTTATGGAAACTATAGGAATGAAAATATACATGTTAAGAAGATTAAACATTAGATATTAGATGGTTTGTTGCATGCTACAACTGTTAGTATTGTTAATTACTTTGGTTTTACAAAAAATAAGTGATAAATATCTTTAAAGAGAACTAGAAGAATTTTTTGTTTGAGTGATTCCAGGCTATAGCATGATTATTTACTGAAGTGGTTTGATTGGCTGGCTAACTTAGAATTACTGTTTCTTGTTTGATATTGCAATAGGGCTTATAATTGTAACATAAAAATGTGTGTGTGTTTAAGGGAAGTAGGTGGTGGTTAAAACTCTCGAAAAATTTTCAGAATACTTTAAAAATAAAGTTTCAAATTATACAGTTCGGCCTTTTTTATTTTTTGTTAAGGGAAAAAAAAAATCACATAATATTGGAGCCAAGGTACTGATTGATTGATTGTTAGCTACTTTAATTGGGTCCACTCCAATCTACCTTCACCAAATTTACTTGGATATTTAATCATTTACCCTCTTGTTTACATTATATTTCCATGGTGTTCCCTTCGGTGCCAAAAAAAATAAAAATCTCTTTGACAGCTTCTTTATCACCTACAAAAGAATATGTTAACTGTATTGTATGTTGTATGATCTACTATTTGTCTTGTTTATCCTCTGTTTTGACCTTTCTCTTCGGATTTGTACTAAATAAATACAGAATCAGGGGCTGGGCACAGTGTCTGAAGCCTGTGTTCAGAACTTTGGGAGGGTGAGGTGGGAAGATTGCTTGAAGCCAGGAGTTTGAGACAGTCAGCAAAGTGAGATCCCCATCTCTACCAAAAAAAAATCTTTTTAAAGTCAGGTGAAGTAGTGGTGCAAATATGTGATCTCAGCTGCTTTCAGGACACACAGGCAGGAGGATCACTTGAGCCCAAGTACTGGAAGTTCAGTGAGCTGTGATCATGTCACTGTACTCCAGCCTTCCAAGCCTGGGAGAGGGAGCGAGATTGTCTTTTTTTTTTTT